ATAATCCCTTTTTCACAGTGAACATTGCAAAACTTAAAGTGCTTTTTTTTTGTTTTGACTGAACCTAATTACCGTACATCTGTTACCTGACTGACAAGCTTTTCCAGATGGTTAGAGACAAACACAGGCTGCAGGAGCTGCTTTGAATCTCAGACCGAGCCTAAGCTGAGTTGCATCTCTTATTTTGTTCCCCACATTTCCAGATCCTGCTTTGATTTGGCTGTGAGGACAAAACACGAGTCAGCTGCAAGGCCAAACCAGAGGTGAGTCCTGGATGTGCATGTTGAACTCCATCTTGTGTTTACCAGCTTGCAGCTCTCTCCATTAAACGCCACACAAACTGTTTTTGTCTGTTGCATGCTTCAACAGCCCTGATCCTGTTGCTCCGAGGGTGTCAGCTGCACACACGCATTACACAGAGCCTCTCTGCACAGGCACCGACGGCAGTTTAGGATAATTGTTTACTATGTTTGAAGAGAACGACAGATGGAAAAATACAAGACTGTTAATAAGAAAGCACTCCCCCTTTGAGCTGTACACACAAGGAACCCACAGCCTTTTTATGCATTTGTGTCTGTGCAGACTAAACTGAAATTCAGCATTATACTTGTGAGTTTCACTTCACCAGTGGTTGCTGGTTTTCATGTAAGAAATCACCACAAGCAGTTTTTCCATTAGCATTTCCTGTCATCACTTTATGCACAACCGATTGCTTTCTATTGTTGTTTTTACATGATTTTATTGTTTACAAGAAAATATTAGCTGGAGCCTGTTCCACAAATCAGTAGGCTTATCAGCTTCAGGGGTGGGAATCTTCAGGCACCTCATGAGTCAATTTAAATGATTCAAAGGTCATAGTGCAATTACAAAACAATTATATCACATTTCAAACTAAATCCTGAGCAAAAGAATCTGTCAGACCTAAAAGAATCAAAATATTTTGCTCTGGGTGTCCATGTTCGTGCGGTCTTACCCACTTTGTTGAACCTTGTCGTTTCGCTGCAGTAGAATGTGAGAATGGTCGTGATGGTCACCTTCTATCACGGCTCCAGATTAGGAAACGGCGCAAAAAACTTGGCTTTCAAAAACTGAATGCAGACGCAAATCCTTCACAGTAAAAGTTGTAATGGACTTTGTAATTTGCTTCCCCTTTTACCAGTTAAGTGGAAACTTCGATGTCCCCTCGTTCAGTACTCCTTTGTAGCAGCAGCTATCTTCCTCCTTGAGGTGGAAACTTGTACACAACTTGCGTATAGTGTAGCATGACTCTTGTCTGCGTCACTTTTACCTTTAACCTCGGAGAAGTCAAAATACTGGTAACCTTCAAAGACTGGATTTCAATCCAGAAGGAGCTGTTTGTACGGCTTGGTCAGCCACCTCATTCTCATGTCTCTGTGCACGCCATGAACAGCCCAGATCTTGACTTGTCAACTATAAATAATATATATATTTTTTTAATTGGGTCAAAATCATTCATGTTTGCATTGTGATGCATTGGTAGTTAGGAGCGTGAGCGCCACGCTTTGTCTGGTTCAGTTAACGAAATTTAATATGACAAGTTTCTCATTTAGTGCAAAAACATCTGTTTAGAGAAAAAGGAAAAATGGATTTGTGTTTGAATGAATACGGGTGAATAGGCTGTAGTAATTGTCAGACATTTGTGCTTCAGTGATGTCACATAGGGATTGATAAACTTATTAGTTTTATTCCTTTTCTATTTTCTCTTTGAGACAGTTCTGTCTTTTCTCTCCGTCTGTTTTACACAGCTGTGATCTGATATTGAGGTAGACAACTAGTTTTGTAGCAGTAGCTATGTTTTCAGATAAAATTATTTAAATATATTGTTTACACACGCACAATCCGTTCACGACGAGCGTTTACATGCAGCGGGTTTTTATTCTGAATAGAAGTACTGACATGCACAGAGTGGTAAACTCTCATTAAAAAAACATAGAAGAAGTTCTTCGTCCGGGATGAACGTAAACAAACCTGAGCGCCCAAAATGGACCCGCGACAGGTTTTTAATGACAGTGGAGACGTTACTGCACTCCCTCACTGAGCTACAGGTGATACAGATCATTTTGAGCTCTTTCAAAGTTTCTAGTGGAAATGTTGTCGCTCACCGACCAGTTTTGCTTCCCTGACATGCTAATATTATTAGCATTAGCCAGGTGGAAATGACAGGTCGCACATGCGCAGTTAGGTCAGTTTTTCACGTCAGGAAAAAAATGAACAGATTAAGTGTTTACATGCACACCGTTCGGATTATGAATCTGCATAAACCAACCATCTCATTCTGATTACAAATTATTTCAGATTGAGCTGAATAAACAAAAAATAATCCAAATGGGGCGTTTACAAGACACATTTTTATTCCAAACGGCTGTTTAATTCGATTACATCCATGTAAACATAGCTACTATTCATTTTAATGTTAGTTCAGCCAGATCTCCTCAAGAAGCCTACGGTTGTATTTAACCTGCTTTGAATTATAGGCCCTGGACTTGCACCATCTGAATGCCTCAAGAAAAAAAACCAAGGCGTTATAAGAAATGGCTTCTTTTTTTTAGCTTTTGTCGTCCAGTTTCAGAAAAAAAAAAAAAAACACTTTTGTACTGTGTCCCCACAATGAGGCTGACTGATTTGTATGTTGCTAAAAGTTGCAAGTTGTGCAAACAGCTTGAGACTGAATCAAAAAGAGAATTTTTATGTTTTGCTTTTCCTGCTCAGATCTGTAGTCAATTAGCTTTAAGTGGTGTAATTGTTGCTCTGGTCATTTTTTCTGAAATCCTTTTAACCGTTGATTATCTATCGAGCGGCCTCATGTTTCCTGCCGGCAGCCAACACGCTGAAACACTGTAACACACACGTGCACCCCCACCCCGAGCAGAAACCTGCTCTCATCAAGAAATGTGGAGCACCCAGATAGAGAGCAGCTAGTGTTACACATCACGAGTTTCCATCAAGGACTTCTTCTGCTCACATGGTTTTACAGGCACATTTCTCACAAAAGGAATGCAAAACAATTATTTTCCCCGCTCTTATTTTTGATAGAGGTTAATGCACGACGAGTATTGTTTAAAGCCCTTTACTGTTTAATTTTATCCAACCACTAAAGTGGTTTCAAGCTAAAGTGAGCGGTGCCATTTAAAGCCTGGCTTCAGATAGTGACGCATGGTTTTAGCTACACAAGAACTCTTGCATAAAGATAAAACTTGTAACATGATTTCTCATCCAATTCAAACCACTCGGTGTTGCTGCGACTGGATGAACGGACGAGGGATCATATACAGTTACACATCACAAGATTAAGGGAACCTACACGGCATCAGCTGACTTTAATTTGTTTTCTCAACGCTCTGCTGAGCTCACGACGCTGACAGTCGAGGTAAACGTTTGACTTCTGTGATGGCTCTGTAAAACCGTGTGCAGGTCATTTTTAAAGGTAACGTGTCATTAATATGAGCTATGATCATTGTAGATTCAACTTTTTAATGGTAATTACCTAAATCTGTTGTAAATTGTGCTTTTTTATTTACTTGAAGTGATGTTATCATAACCTGATGGAACAAAGGCTATTTTGTTGGTCATTTGTTTATATGAGATGAAAATTTTAAAACATAAAACAATAATAAGAGTAACAGTGTCTGTCATGGAGAGACAGTAATGGGTTTAAAAAGTCTGTTGCCTTGTTAGTTATCATCATCAATGTTTATTTTATTTATTTAATAAATGAAATACTCCACTAATGACACAATTCCCACAAACATTTTGCATGCTACATTCACACTAATTTAACTGTTGGGATTTTTATATTTGGTTAGTGGAAATGTCTGTGATTAAAATGTAGATTACTCTGCAAAAATATATGTGATACATTAGTGTTAATGTTTTTTTTTAACAAAACGTATTAAAATATGTCACCTATACCAGATTTCTCATTACAGTAGTCCCTCGCTACTTCGCGGTTCGTTTTTCGCTGACTCACACAATTGGCTGATTGATGGATGAGCCGCGTGATTGGTATGAAATGTTTATTTAAAATAAATTATTTAAAATTATTTAGTATCTGCTGCGCCTTTGTGCAGCCCATACTGCAGGATAAGCGTCCTCCTGCAGCTGATCAGCTGTTCTTCATGCAGAGCGGAGAAGTGGGCGTGGCCAAGAATGCTTGCAGGTGGCTGAGAGCAGCGGAAGCAGGGAGCTGAAATCATGACATTCTGCGCTCTTAGAGCGTTTAGAGTTTAGAAATATTGTTTAGAATATTGCAGTAGTGTGGGAAGGGTTTAAACACTTAAAAAAATGTATATATATTATATATTTACTAAAATAAACCACAACTTACTGCTTGTACTACTATTCCTACTTCATGGTTTTTCACTTATCGCAGGGCTTCAGGGCACCGATCCCCCGCGATAATCAAGGGACTGTGTACTGTGTTTTAAAAGTTTATTGAATTTGTCCGGGAATGTCTGATAGTCGGCGCTTATTGACAGTGTAGAGAAAAAAAAAGTTTTTCTTGGTTAGAAATAATAATTAAAGGCATGAACGGTTTGAGGTTTTTAAAGGTTTTAATTGATAAATATTGAAAAACAGGTCTGGAAGGTTTTGACTCTTCATTCTTGACTTGTCAGTCACTTATTCCAGCTCTGGCAGCGTTTATAGATTGCTTGAAAACTCAGTGGTGTATTGAGCTCCGAGTCCTCGTATAAACCGCGGCCTACATAATGCACACTGTCGAGCTTGACCGCTCTCTGTAAATAGGTCAGTTCAGACTAGTCAGACAGATTTGGTGAGCCCCGAGGCTGCAGACGGTCTGAGCGTATGTGTTTGGTTCGTAAAATGTCGCGTTCTTTAAGAGCTTTGTAACGGGTCGTGAAATGAGCCGTTTTTGTTGACTGGTTTCTCTTGACACCAGAACTGCAGCACAAACTCAAACAATAAAGGATGAAAGCGAACGTTATGAGCCGTTCATGAGAAGCGTCCGTTATTTTGTGGACGCTTGTTTGAATGCGTTTGAATCTTTCTTGGGAACGTGTAATGACTGTTTGCTCGTTGGGCTCTATTCCCTGAATACCCTTCAGGAAACCACTGTGTATTTTGGGATCACTGCAGCTGTGTGGTTAGGAAAAACAAGTTTTCCTGCAGAATGATGACCATGCAGTGTACACCAAAATCTGTAGCTGTGTTGTCATTATGGTTATCTCTGTAACTGTTTGTCCGCGAATGTGTGTGAACTGTTGTTTGCTTCGCAGTGAGGTAT